AATAATCAAATTAAAATTCTTTTAATTAACATATTATATTATTTAGTTTTTTTTTTTTTACTATCATGTTTGTATATATTATTATTACTCAAAATTCGGTGAAGCCTCTCCATAACCATCATAATCGAATTTCCCCGAAAGCCATGAATTCAATGAGATGTTAAGGCATTTTGACCGTGACGAAGCCTAAAAAACGACATCAATTAGGTGTCAAAAACTATATCCGAATGAATACAACGTTGGTTGCCAACAGAGAAGACCAACTTATTTTGATTTCTCCAAATAACGTAATGAGCAGTCTTATTGTAGATTGTCCCATTTCACGCAAAGAAGATGAGGTTACCCGATTACGAATTTCTAGAATGTTGTTGAGCATAAAGGGGACAGCAAAGATATCCCGCACATCTCCAAAAACTTTCCCATACTTGCAAAACATTTTTAAGATGTCATTTTTGATCATTTTATATTTTTGAAAATGTAACTAATCATAAGCTAATGTATCAGTCATCGACTAGTTTATTAGCTAGTTTGCCAAAATAGGCTAGACCATCCACGTACCTGCAATTCATTCATGTTTTTCAGTTGTGTCACATCAACTTTTGTAATTACTACTTATACACCTGCAATTCACCTAAGCTTTCAAAAGTGACCCTTACTGCAACATTAATAAAATATAAGTATTAATTAAACATATTATTATTATCAAAATAATATATAAATTAAACCCACATATATAATTTTATATACATATAGAGCTTGCAAATGCAATTGCAAGAGGTGAAAGTCTCACAACCCAATTTTAACCATGAGAGTTGTGACATGTCATGTGTAATGAAAGGCTATTTACAATCGCATAAAGGGACGGGTGTGGATGTTTTATCTTCAATTGTAAAAAATGAAGCTTTTGTTTTTTTTTTAAAAATATTTTTGTGTTTCGACTATTTATCTAAAATAGACAAAATAAGAGAGAAAATATTTGTTAGAGAATTTACAACATATTTTATTTTAATTCCTAAAATGAATGATCAAAATTCAAAAATAAATAAATATATATATAAATTCAACACCAACATATTTTTTTATTTTAATAATTATATTATTAAATATTTTAATTAAGATCTTTAAAATAAAAAATTATTAAAAACTTAATGTAAATTTTATTTAAAATATTTAATTTTTTTAAATCTATTTTAGATAAAAAAGGAATAAACTCTTGGAGATGCCGTAAGCATCATGAACCCTTTCCCACCAATTAAAAAGTAAGATAATTTTTAAAATAATATTTATTTTTAGAACAATTTTTATATTTTTACGATGTGATTATAATTGTTTGGTGTTGTCTATTTTTATTGTTTCTAGTTTATCCTTTTTTTCTATTTTTTATTAATATATTTTCAATCAAAAGCACGATTATTTTATCTATACTATATTATAAAGCATTTGGCTAAAACTCTTAAAAACTCTTAAACACGTTCATCCCTAAACGATTTCATCCCATATCTAAATTCGTGAAACTAACTGCAGATAAACACAATTAAATACAGGATAAACATCTTATTTTAAATATAAAAAATCTAAAATATAATTAGTATAATCATTAAATTATAACAGAATACTTAATTATTATCTTTATAAAATTTATAATATTAAAC